TTTTGGTCTTTTTGAGACAAGGTCTCCCTGTAGCCCCAGCTGGCCTGGAACTCACTTATGTAGACCAGTAGACCAGGCTGGCCTCAAACTCACAGAGATCCGCCTGCCTCTGCCTCCCAAGTGCTGGGATTAAAGGCATGCACCACTACGCCCAGCCGTAATTGGGCTTCTTGACTAAGTGAGGCATGGTGTTCATGAGTACTGTGAGCAGGGCTAAGTGTCCATAGCAGTGCCTGCCTTTGTCACATGCTGAACTCTGTCCTTTATAAAATTATGATACTGGGCTGGCAAGATGGTTCAGCGGGTAAAGGTTCTTGCCACCAAGCCTGAGGACCCGATTTTGATTCCCACCACCCACATGGTGTAGGAGAAGAGACCCTTCCAAGTTGTCTTTTGGAGACTGAAGAGGTGGTTCATTGGTTAAGAGCACTAACCACTCTTGCAGAGTTCCCAGGTTTGGTTCCCAGCATTCACATGACAGCTAACAGCTGTCTTTGTAACTAGTTTCAGTGAATCCAACACCCTCGTCTGACTTCTGTAGGCATTGCACAACATGGGTGCACTTAGGCAAAATACCTCATACACATAAAAATAATAAAATTATTTTAAAAGTTGTCTCCTGACCTCGATACATGTGCTGTGGCACTTGCATCCTCACATACATACCCCCAGTAAATAAATGAATGTAACAAGAAGTTATTTTTGGAAATTAGAGAGATGGCTGAATGGTTAGTTGAGAGTACTTGCTGCTCTTCCAGAGGACCTAGAGTTCAGTTCTCAGCAACCACATCACTTGGTTCACAGGCACCTGCACTCACATGCACATACCACACACAGATATATACCCATACATAAAATTAAAAACAAAAAATATCTAAAAGAATCTTTTAGTCCGGGCATGGTGGCGCACACCTTTAAGCCCAGCACTTGGGAGGCAGAGGCAGGAGGATCTCTGAGTTCAAGGCCAGCCTGGTCTACATAGTGAGTTCCAGGACAGCTGGGGCTACAGGGAGACCCTGTCTCAAAAAGACAAAAAAAAAAAAAAAAAATCTTAAAGGTGCTAAGTATGTCGGTTACACCCCTTTTAAAAATTCTAATTCCCAGAGAATATGGTCAGCTTGGCCTAGCCTGGTGCACTTGGCAATCCCCCTCACTGTCCCCATTCTTTTGAGTTGTAGGCTAGTTTTCCATGCATCTCCACTAAGACCACAAGTCTCATGGATGGCTAACTGAGACTGTTTTTGATGGTCTTCTGTATCTAGTACACTTTCTACATTATAGGCACTCAGTGGTGTTTCTAGAATGAATGGATGTTGAGGGGATTTGACCAATAAATTCTTTCAGAACAAAACTCAGGAATCAGTTGTATATGTCAAATACCAGCATTTGGGAGATAGTGACAACTCTAAACAGTATCAGGAAGGAGATGGGTGCAGGTTGAGCTTGTGCTTGACCTTTCTATTCATGGGAAGGAATAGTCTGGGAAGGATTACTCTGGAAGACTTAAGAGTCTCCAAGTGTCCATGCCACCCATTATTACCTCTTCATGTGTACCAGGATGCAGTCCAGTCTCTAGCCCAGCCTGCGAGTGTCTTTCCTTGCTCAGAGTCTTTTCTCCTGCCTGGCATTCTAGCATCCAGCTCCATGGGGGTTTCTAGGGGCCTAGGTGACACATTCTGGCTGTCAGTATTGGCAGCACCTCGGTGCCTGTGATGATGTCACCTTCCCACTGTTGCACAGACCTGGAGGTACAGTTGTGTTGTAGAACATTGGGTGTTCACTTTGGTTTTAGTTCATTGTTTTCACTTTTCCTTAAGGGTGATGGTACTCCTGGTTTGGGTTCACTGTGGAATTGGGAGTATTGCCCTCAGTCCTCTGAGCTGGTTAATCTGTGGAGGAACCTGCAGTGGGTCTTGTTTTTAACCACAAACCAGTCCAGACAGGCTCTGTGACTCCAGGCTGAGCTGTTGGTCAGTGCACACAGCAGCACTCTTACTCCACTGAGCCACACTTGGCCATAGGAGCTGGGGTTTGGGAGATGCATACAATTCACCTATTCTGAATAATAGAGAACGTGAGCCACAAAAGCAAACTGATTTGTCTCTTACTATGAAAGGTGCCAAGCAGATCTATATGTATAGATGGGGATGATTGTGCTCCTTCATAGAGGAATCTCACCTGGGACCCGTACTTCCCCTTGGGAATACTTGGTGCTGCTGTTCTGAATAGCAGAAGCTAGGTGTGGGGTCTCTCCCTTCCCTTGTGAGTCGTTGGCCACCGTTCCACGAGGACAAAGGGAGCAGAAGCGACGAACGGGGTCAGGATGGCCGGTGAGCACTGATGGAAGAAAGCCCTGATAAAGGGAGCAGAAGCCACAAATGGGTTCAGGATGGCCAGTGAGCAGGACGGAAGAAAGCCCTTCCGGGGAGGCAGGTTCAGTGATACAGCTCCAGATTCAGTGAAACAGCTCCGTTTATTCAGTGGGGGTCAGGGAAAATATAGTGTGGAGGCAGCAGCCAATGCTTCAGCTGATAGGTGCTCAGAGTATGCTTTATTTACATGTGGCAGTGGGCTCCTATCATCTGACTACCAGGCAATGCCTAATTATCATATAGAAAAAACCTGGGGGCAGTTTTATTGCAGGTAACTATGCCAAAGGTCATGTTTCAAATGAGGCCAAGCATCCGTGCTTGGCTGCACTTTCCAGGTAAGTCAGGCAGGAAGCCCCTGCTGAGAAAGGAGCCGACCTTAACAGCAGGGTTCCCCAACAGCTAGGGTCTGCTGTACACCTGCTGGTTGCTGGACAGCTTCCCCACCAAGAACAATCTCACCTTCAGTAAACAGCAGGGTGCAGGGTTGAGACTGCAGATCTGGAGAATGTGATGATGCCCCAGGCACATACTCCCAGGACCTTCTTTGCAGTGAGGGCTTGTGCAGGTGGAAGCTTGCATTTTTACTGATTACCTTGGGTTCCCCAACTTCTACTTCACTCCCACCTTTTCTTTTTTGAGATGGAATTCATATAATACAAAATTAAACCATTTTAAAGAGAACAGTTCCCTAGCACTTAGTGTGTTCACAATGTTGTGCAACTACTACCTAGTTCTTCATTTTTGTTACCCCAAAAGAAAGCTCTGTATCCAGTGAGCTTGCTCATTCATTGTACATGTCCCCTTGGCAACCCTGCATTTTCATCTCTGGATTTGGGATATGTTGTGTAAATGGAATCATACACTCTGTGTGTGCGTGCATGCGTGCATGCGTGTAGAGGTCAGGACATCAGGCTTGGCTGCAAGCGCCTTTACCTGCTAAGCCACCTTGCTGGCCCCCATTTCTTTGTTCTTTAATACTGAAAAATGAAATGCTATAATGGGTAAAGCAATTTGGAGGGAGACAGTAATGAGGAAGAGGATGGCTTATGTGCTACTAATTGTTTTCATTCCAACTCCAGTATGACACAAACATACCTTTTTCTGTTTCTTACAGATAGACTTACATGTGTAGAAGACAAGGCCAGAGACACCCAAATTAAGGTAACTTCACATGTATAATTAATACGCATTGGCTTTTGAAATACAGTATTTAAATTTCTTTAGGGCGTGTGTCTGTATGTGCCTGTGTGTCAGATCCAGGTTCTTGGCCTGCTAAGCTTATGCTTAGCTACTCAGCATAGCCTAGGATAGATTCCCTCTCTCTCTCTCTCTCTCTCTCTCTCTCTCTCTCTCTCTCCTTCTCCTTCTCTCCCCTCTCTCCTCTCTCCTCTCTCCTCTCTCCCTCTCATTTTGAGACAGGGTCTCCCTGAATCCCCAGCTGGCCTGGAACTTCCTTTGTGACCAGGCTGGCCTCGATTGCCCCCTCAGAGAACCAGCTGCCTCCCTCCCGATTGCTGGGATTAACGGCCTTTCTTTGGCATGACCTCTCTATCACAGTCACAGTCTTACTTGCTCTTTTGGATAACATCCGGTCTGACCATGACCTGCCTCAGTCTCCCATGTAAATAGTGCGACAAGAATCCATTTCTTTCCCCTGTCCCTCCCTTCCTCCCCTCTCTCTTTCCATCTTTTTTGTTTGTTTGTTCAATAACTATTGTCTTTATGAAAAAAAATCTCCATAGAAAATTGCTTTAGCTTTCAGCAGCCCATTCCTGAGCTCTAAGGAAGCTTGCCTTCTTTTGAGCTACCCGATCTTTCTTCTGGGTAAGGGACATTTTGGGATGGTTCCACCTCTTCTACTTTTTTTGGGGTCTTTTTGAAACAGGGTCTCCCTGTAGACCCAGCTGGCCTGAAACTCAGTGTGTAGACCAGGCTGGCCTTGAACTCACAGAGATCTGCCCGCCTCTGCCTCCAGAGTGCTGGGACTAAAGGTGTGTGCCACCACGCCCCGCTCCACTTCTTTTTAATTTCTCTCTTAGGCTTCTTCTTGTAGACTGGATTCTCTCATATAGCAGCATGGGCTTTCTTAGACATCACCTCCATGTCTGGGGTTACGTTATTCTTTATGTACTGAGAGAACTGTTTCTTGTATGCAGCTTCATCTTCATCAGGTATCACATGTAGTCTGCCACGTTCTGACCCATGATGTGCTTCCCATGGATTTCTGCCTTGAACTGCTTGCTTTCAGAATCACAACCAGGGAATCATTTGGTACTGTGAGGCATAGACAAGCCTCCATCCACAGCTCCCTTCAGGGCCCCAAAAACTTTATTGCCAGCTGTAGTGTGGGCAGGACCTGCATCCTGATAGCAAGTGAAGGCACCAGGCTGACCATCAATGCTTTCCACATTGTATTCATCTCAGGTCACCTCCATTTGGCCTTCATAGATCTTGTCCAAATCTATTAAGAAGCCTGCGGGCCTGCAGCAGGCCAGTGCAATAGGCTGCAGCCTATTTGTCAGGCCAACTTTCACACCATATTTTTGTAGTTCATGTGCATATGCTGTGCAGACTATATCCCCTTCTATATGAGCATAAGCAGTCTGACAGATGATGTCTCTGTTCACACAAACTATCATTCTGTATTTGGGTGTGTTGTACTTATTTTTGTCTTGGATCACCAATTATTTATGAGCATAGTAGTCATTTTACCCTCTTATTGTCTTCTGAATTTCACTTGGTATCTCTTTAAAGTAGGCCTTATTCTTGATAACTTTCACGAACCCTATCCTGCAGAACAGAGATCCGCAACTGTGGCTCCACACAGACCTGCAGCGCTATGGGGGCGGGGGTGTGTGGCTGGAGCTGCTGCCTCTCTTTCCATCTTTTTGAGACAGCATCTCACCATGTAGCCCAGGACAGCCTCAAACCTGCTTCCTCTTCCCAGAGTGCTGGGATTACCTGTGTATAGAGAGGCCAGAGACAGATGTCAGGTGCCTTTCTCCATAGCCCTTTACCCTATTTCTTAAAATAGGGTCTCTCTCACTGAACCTGGGGCTCATCAATTTGGCCAGGCTGGCTGGCTAGCAAGTTCCAGAAAGAAAGTGGCCTGTCTGTGCCCCTCACAGTGATGAGGTTATAGGCAGGTGCAACCATGCTCATCTCTTTACATGGGTACTGGGATCTGAACTCGGGGCTTCATGCTTGTACATAAAGTGTTTTACCAACTGAACCATCTCCCCAGTCCTACTTTTTTACATTTATGGGGGACAGGCATGACACTGCCTATGGAGATCAGAGAACAACTTGCTAGAGTCAATTCTACCATGTGGGTTCTGGGAATTGAACTCAGGACCTCAGGGTTGGTAGTGAGTGCCGTTCCCCACTGAGCTATCACACTGGCATAGAAATCAAGTTAGTCCATGGGTTTGGTTTTGTTCTTTAAAGATTTGGGGGTGGGGTGTATGTACATGCCTATGCCTATGCTTATGCAGAGACCAGAAGGAAATATCAGACCCTTTGAAACTGGAGTTACAGGCATTTGAAGCTCTAATTCTTTTTTTTTTGTCTTCTTGAGACAGAGTCTCTCTCTAGCACCAGCTGGCCTGGAACTTACTTTGTAGGCCAGGCTGGCCTTGAACTTGGAGATCTGCCTGCCTCTGCCTCCTGAGTGCTGGAATTAAAGGTGTACGCCACCACGCCCAGCTCGAAGCTCTGGTTCTTATGTGTACAACAAACTCTTAACTGCTAAGCCATCTCTCCAGCTGCTCCCCTCACCCCTCAACTTTGTTTTCAGAGTAGTTGATATTCAGAAGGATGTGTTCTTTAAAACTTGCATCCAGAGCTGGGCACCTACAGTCCTAGCCACTTAGGAGGCTGAAGCAGGAGGATTGCTTAAGGTCAGAAGGTCAGACCATCAAGGCAACATAGCAAGATCCAATCTTTTTGCCAAACAGAGCTCTTCCATTCAGCATTTAGCAAGAAGGCTTCAGGTCCCAATAGATTGTGGGCATGAGCAATTTTTTTATCCTTTTTTTCCTTCCAGTAATAAGCAGCCCAGTCTTTTTCTATTTTTCTCCTATCCAGCTTTTAGTTGAAATATGATGTGGGTACATGGGATTCAGGAGGAAAAAAAAAAATCCCTGTGTATTCATGTACTTTTAATGAAGCAAGTGTGTCTCAATGTTAGAAGTTGGTGTATGTTGGTGAGTGTATATAGTTTCTTTATAGTATTCTCATAGTTCTTTGAAGTTTGAAGCAATTTTGAATTACAAAGCAAAACTAAATTGAATGAATAATTAAGTGCTGAAACAATTGGTTATCATTATGCAGAAGGCGATCTTGACAACATCCATACTAATCAACTGAAAATGGATCATAGGTTCATCTAGAAAACCCAAAGGCACTGAGACTTAGAGGGAGGTTCACCATTCCTTTTTTTATTCATTTTTAAGCTTGAAGATAATTTATTTTTTAAGTCTAAAAGAAAAACTCTCAGGGCAGGGAAGCTGTAAGTGTTAGTAGCTGCCTAGAGGAGGAGGATAGAGGAGAGAAGAAAAAGGCCATGATGTTTGAGCCAGCACAGAGGTCAGACATGACAGACTAGTAGTTACATGGTGAGAAGGGGAATTTTAGAGAGAGAGTAAAGAAACCCAAAATGTTGGGGAAGCCCAAATTAGGAAAAGCATGCTTAGAAAAGAGATGGGTGGTACACGCCTTTGATCTCAGCCCTTGGGCGGCAGAGATAGAGGCAGAGGCATGTGAATCTCTGAGTTCAAGGCCTGCCTGGTCTACATAGTGAATTCCAGGCCAGCTGAGGCTATAGGGAGACCCTGTCGCAAAAAGAGCCATAAAAAAAGAAAGAAAAGAAAAGAGATAGAAAGACAAAAAGGAGAGGTTACACTCTTTTGAAGAATTTTAAAAAGCAGGCAGAAATAGAAAGCTGAACGTCTGCAGCCTGGTGAGCTGTTGCCAAGCTTTTTTTTTTTTTTCAATTTTAAAAATTATTTTTATTTTATGTGTAGGAGTGTATTGCTTGCATGTGTGTAAGTGCACCATTGTCATACATTGTCCACGGAGGTCAGAAGACAGTGCTGGATCCCCTAGAACTGGAGTTATGGATGGTTGTTAGCCACCATGTGGGTGCTGGGAACTGAACCTGGGTCCTCTGCAGGAGCAGCCAGTGCTCTAAAGTGCTGAGCCATCTCTCCAGCCGCACAAGCTCACTTTTTAGATATGACATCAGAGACACAGTAACAAGTAGCTGTGAAGAGGTATTTCTCTTATTTTATCATGATTACATGTTAAAGTAACATTTTTGATGTGTGGGACAAAGTGTATTGATTGAAATTAATGTTACGTACTTCGTTTCACCTTTATCCTTAAGGCCACTGGAAAATAAGAAATAGATAGGTGGCTCATGTCAGGTTTGTATTTATTATTCAACACTAGCTTAAGGAGACTGACTGGAAGAGTTACATAAGCTAAGGTAAAACACCTAGACAAGCTATAAGAGGTAGTTTTAATGTGTTTCCTCCAGAAATGGATAAACTCAGATTGCTTGCTCCAGGGATATAGTGCCTGCTAGGATAGTGGTCCTAGCACTTTATTCCAGTTGGAAGATTATGGGGGGAGGTATAGTTTTCATCATATCTTTGTCATGAGAGCATGTCCTGACCAAGGATATGCAAGCAGGCAGTTGAAGTGAGATTTCTTTTTGTGATCTTTTGACCATCTCCAGCCAGTTCTAGATGACTTTGTGGAACTGGCATGGAGGTAGCTGATGGGAATCCTGGGTTTGGGCTTAGAGCTGTGAACCTGGGCAGGTTGCTTAACCAGCTGTGTGTTTACTCTTCTTTACCACTTGAACCATTCATCCCCTATAGCACTTGCTGCTGGGGTGGGGGAGTAGGGTGCAGCAGCACACCATGTACTGGAGAGTAAGTATTCCTGAGTCAGTAGAGCCACAGTGAGGGTAAATTGTGAAACTACCTTTTATTTATAAAATGCTTCAAATCCAAGTGTTAAAATTACACTAATTCTGAGTCAGTGCTTCAAACAGACGTTTCACTCTCATTCCTCTTAAGTTCTGTTACGACTCCTGAGAACAGGGAACGTGCCTTTCTCTTCACCACAGTTTGTTCTGCTCCATAGCAAGTGCT